AGCACAATTTAATCAAATGTGGATGTGGCAAGTGCATAAGCAAAAGTATATTGTGCAAAAGAGAGCGAGTGCACAAAGGGCATGCTCGGAAAAAGACAACAAATCGAGATAAGCAAATGAGTGGCATTGGTAAAGGGTGTCAGCATACATAGTTTATGTTGCACGGTTATTACTATGGAATGCAATATCAAGCCCTCATGTGTGATAAAATGTTACGAAATAAGAATTACCTCCTCAGTTGACACACCAACAGCTTCAAGGCCACTCTGGTTACATGACGAGATACCGAGTCCATTAGCTCTAGAATCAGTCATATGATAAGCATCACAATTTACTGCACCACCCAAGTACTTGGCAATTATCGTTGCATCTCGTTTCATTGCATGATCCAAACTTTCCATCACCTTTTAAGAATGTTGAGGAATTTCTTTTAGGAACTTTAACTTCCATTTAAGTCTAAAGACAAATGTAAACTCTTGAAGAAACAACCCTTTTTTTGGCTCAAATGATTCGCCAACAAACAAGCCAAGCTTACCACAAATTCCAGCACCTTCACCCATAACAAAAACATCTCTATCTTTTTCCCGAGGCCTAGAAGCAGTTTTTGGATTATCATTTCTTTGAGACAAAGCTCTACATGCAACAAAACCTCCCAATCCTATAGGAATAATGGCAGCTTCGGTTCCACCAGTGACCATTATATTTGCCTCACCTCGACGGGTGTGATTTGCAGCCGCATAGAAGCAATAATTTGAGGTAACTGAAAACAATGCGAAGTGATATATTCTTCAAAATTCAAAACCCCAAAACAAAAATCATCTACCTGTCTTAAATGTAAATAAGAAAACTTAAAATTATCACTTTTCTCATCTCAACCAATCAGTTATGAGTTATCAAAGGTAGAGGAGCCATATTGAAGTTGATAACAAAAATCTATGACCAACACATATAAGTAGAGGAACTTAATTCGAATGAAAAATCAAAATCTAAGTTTATATCATTTTAATCTAAATATTTCAATTAACAATCTATGACCAACACATATAAACAAAAAATCAGAAAAGATATGCCATCAATAAAAATTCAAAATTCAAAATAACAAAGAAAAAGAAAAGAAAACTAGTCCTTACAGAAATATTTTGATTTGGGTCCTGGGAGGATAAAGGTAAAAGTGATAGGTGCCGGTGGTCAATGATGAAAGGTGACGAGAGTCAGAGTTGAGGAGCCGGGCAAACTCACGGCAAGGTGGAGGGATG